GGGCTTAGGGGTTAGGGTTTAGGGCCGCAACAGCCTTACAGTTCGTGGCTCATCCAACAAGAACGCAGTTGTAAACCCGAGGTCATACTCTAACAGCTGTAGACAGTTAATGCCTTCCCATAGGCTCCTAAGTAATTCCTTTTTTATGGTTCATATTGAGAATCCTATAAGGTAATCAAGGAACTGCTATGGAGCCTATGCCTGAGATCCTGAAACTCTAAACCATCCGAACCCCGAGGCACCAAGCGTTGCAACCTGTCAGACTGTTGCTCGACAAGCGCTTGCGCTTTCCGTGTACACAAGTCTATCTCTCTCTCTCTATATATATATATATACATATACATATATATATATATTGTGACACATTCCACTATTTCGAAAGCCTTGTGAAAACACTAAAACCGTGAACCCGATAACACCCTATAGCACCCTGTAAAAAATAAATCTTAAACCCTAACAGCCGCAAGGCCTCAACCTCTTGCAGGATGAATGCCGCTAGAAATGCCAGACCCGCACACCCTGACCTCTGAACCCTGAAACGCCTAAACACTTAAACCCTAAAGCCCCAAAAACGCCTAAATCCGTAAATTATATAAACCCCAAAAGTTCTATAAACTCATAGATCTTGAACCCGGGACCCCACACCAGGGATGAAAACACGTCGGGTGAGAGTAAGACAGATCGTTTTAGGGTTTCTGGATCTATTTCGGGATGTAGCGTTTGAGTATTTAAGGGTTGAAGGACATGTACTTGCACAGGGGCCGCAATGATGACAATGTTTTGTGGTATAGTATATGGCTAGAAAAAGGAGCCCTACGGTATAGCTTCGGCAACTACAATATTCATGCCCCTACAGTACATTCGGTATTTTCGGGCTGTTTAGCACAGCAAAGCCGTCCTTGCCTTAGCCCGCTCGGTGCTTTGCCGCGCAGAGAACGACCCGTGTTGTTGGGCCTCGCAAGACCAAACGCAGAAGGTCCAAGTATCTTATGTTGATTCAATAGAGTCCAAATAGATGTATTACGAGGCTGGAATGAATGAGCTTCCCCAGACAATAACAAGGATGGTCTTTTGGGACCTATGTAATGACAGTATCTATGGACCCTCTGCTATGATTTGTTGCTACTCTTGCGATGACGCCTCATCCTTAGGAACTAAACCCTAAACCCTAAACCCCAAACCTAAACCCTAAAACCCTAAAACCATAAGCCCTAAACCCTAAACCCCTAAACCCCAAACCCCAAGCCCTATACTAAACCCAGGCCAAAAAGCACAGCTCAAGGCTTCAGAGTTCAAGCCGGGGCCCGGGGTCTGATCCTTAGGGTAACCCCCAGGGTTTAGGGGCTTAGGGTTCATAGGGGTTCAGGGCCTATAGGAGCCTTATAATGATTACCTATGCTATCTTTGGTGTTCCTTCTTATATTCCTTTATGGTATAATATACCCCTCACCCGTGCGCCTTAGGGTGTAATCGGCTCAGGGTTTATGGGGTTTAGGGTTCAGAACTTTACGGTTGAGGGTTTAGATGTACCCATATATGTATATATATATATATATATATATTTGGGTCTTATAAACGTAACGCATGAAATAGCGACTACATTAATTGCAAAAGTATGCAAAACTATGGGCACATGGAGCCTGAGGCAATGGAAGAAACGGCCATAAACATAGGGGTCCCTGACGGATCGAACAGGGTTCCTTTTTTTTAAAAAGGGCCCAGAAGGGTTGCGACAAGGGTTTCCTCAGAATACAGAGGCCTTGACAGTTCAGACACGGCTTAGTTAGGATCAGGGGGACCCCTGGGGATATAGACCCTCTCAATAAGGTCCCTCTTAAGATCAAGAAGGTCCCTCTTAAGAGAGCCAGAAGTAGGGTTCAGAAGGGTCTCCTTTAGGGGGTCTCCCTAATGCTACCCAAAAAGTTGGGGCGTAGCATGCTGTAACTACCCCTAGGCTCCAATGTAGTTCCTGTCTGGGAGTACCTTCTAGGATTCTATATATAAACCACAAAAAGGAACTACAATGGAGCCTATGGGTATGCTAAGGACCACCAAAGAATAGAGGCTTCTGCATTCTCCTGATGAAGATCGCAGCCATATCCGCGACAAACAATAAAGCTCAACAACATCAAGCCAAACCCACAAGTGTAAAATGGTAGATGAAGAGATTTGTTGTGTACTCCTTAGATATATATATAGGGTTTAGGGTTTATAGGGTTTAGAGTTTAGGGTTTACGGATATGTGTAACGCAGACACGCTTGTCCGTACGGTAGAAGCCCACAAGTTGGAAACCCAATAGCGTCAATCCTTAAGGGTAATGAAAAGGGAATCCCAGCACTCTTCGTTCTTAATCCGGCTTCCAACTTTTTTTTGGGGGGGGGTCTACTATACCCAAAGACTCCTTAGTAGTTCCTTCTTGGCATTACCTTCAAGGATTTTAAATATGAACTTAATATGAGCCATAAAAAGGAACTACTTAGGAGCCTATGGGCACATGCTTCTTCAGCCGTCTAAGGCCGTCCCCGGGTTCTCCGACCTTCTGCTGCGCTTTGGCTTCATGCCTTTGCAGCTTAAAGGAGGAGACCTATAACGGTTGGCATAGGACCTGGGAGTAGATAACACTTTGAGAACTATAGGAGTAGTATGACTAATTGCTTTCGGAATATATATATATATATATTAATATTCATATTAATATTAATTACTTCAACAACTATGAGGAACCCAACAAACCGTATGACTAATTATTAGTTGTTCAGGCGTCTTCTGCCTCAGGACTCACGCGTTCCGTTGGACTCAGGTGGGGTGGAGGATCAGGATTCAGGACGCGCACCGCGCGAAGGCCACACTTCTAGCTTCGTCGATGCCTCAATGTTGAAGACGGCTCAGAGCTTGTTGTTATTGGTTTAGGGGGGATGTGAGCTTAGTGTACCAGAAGTTTGCAGAGCAGATCGCTGAGTCAAGACATGTTGAGTTCCGAGACAGGGTACCCTAAACCCTAAACCCTAAGCCCAAACCTTGAAGCGAAACCAGAAAGCTCTACATGGACCTCAGTTGGGCCATCATTTTACCTACTTGTGGGAGTTTAGGTGCCTGTAAGGCCTAGAATTCGTAATATGAGCCCTTATAAACCAGCACGGTACATCCTTAACCCTACTAGTTCCGGTCCCGCAAGTCTGGATGTATGAGTCCTTCAACAGACAGGACATAGGGTTGCACTGCAGCCGGCACATGAACTTCGTGCGTGCAGATTCATATGACAACGGCTGTGCTGCATGGTTGACAGAAAAAAACGCTCAGAATGCAAAGACATTCAGAAACTCACGCATGCTTGGGATGCAAAGCCTCGCAGTCTTTTCCCACAGTACGGTCTGGTGCTGCTATTTGGGAGTTGCACCCATTCACTCCGGCTCGACTGCGAATGGCCCCAGACATTGGTGGCCATCTAAAAAGCGGGTGACCGCAAAGTGTTGCCCTCACTTGCCGTTCTGCCTCTGGATGTAGCAGGCGATGTGCATGAAGAAGGAGATGGGAAGCAAGAAGGACTCCACGATGTAGGACACGTTGAAGAAGCCACCAGCATCCACCTTAGCCCACTGCGGGTCATAGAAGTTGAACTGCAGGTTGCCATAGAGGCCGACGCCAAAGAAGAGCATGGACAGGAAGGCAAGCTCGTTCGAGCTGAACGCCTCGCAGGGTGCAGGAAAAAACACATGGAACCTGCAAAACGGATCCTTGACGACCTGAGCACCTGCAACTGAGAGAGGAACATGGGTGATTTTTTCGCACACGGTCTCCAAACAGGGGTCCAAAGCGACAGAAACCCTCTGGCACCCTACGGCCCTAAATCTGAACCCTGAAGACCACAAATTGTGCGTGAAAAAAACTAAGCCCAGACCCTCTGAGCCCTCCAGCCTGAAAACCTAAAGCCCCCTCCAAAAGACCCCAGACTTCACTCCCTAGAAGTCCCACCACAAAAAGCACAAGCCCTTCCTTATCCCGCCAAAACTTGAACAAAGCAATACGACCCCTACAAAAAGGCATGAATTCCCCCCTACAAAAACCCTATATGAGTTATAAGCCTTATAAACCCTAAGCCCTAAGCCCTTGACCCTAAACCCTAAGCCCTAAACCCCAAACCCTAAACCCTAGCACCCTAAAGCTCTAAGCCCTAAACCCTAGCGCCTAATTAAGCCCTAAGCCCTAAACCCTAGCGCCCCTTGGGTTCGAAACGGCAGCCTTGAGGTTGCCGATCACGTGGCTGGTGTACTTGCCCTCCTTGATCCTCGGCTGCTCTCACTTAAAGCAAACTACAGGTGGGGAGTTTAGGGCTTCAGGGTTTAAGGGTTTAAGGGTTTAGGGGTTTAGGGTTTAGGGTTTAGGGTAAAGGAAACTACAGGTGGGGAGTTTAGGGTATATACGGCTTCTAGAAGGCTGCTTTAAAACGGTTAGGTTTTGTTATTTTTAAGCGCCTCTTTTCTAGGTTTTGTTATTTTAAGCGCCTCTTTTCTAGCTGTTCAGGGTTTAGGGTTAGGGAGTTGAGGGTTTGAGGGTTTAGGGTCACAGGTTTAGGGTTTTTGGGCTTCAGGGGTTTAGCGTGCAGGGCATTTGGGGTTCAGGGTTTAGGGTTACTACCGCAAATCCCTAAACCCGAAATCCCCAACCCCATAAACTGCTACAGGACCAAACACTCTTAAAACTAAGTAAGAAAACCTGAGAAAGCCCCTATGGAAACCCTATGAAAGAGCAGCTCAGGATCATCCTAAACCCTAAACCCTAAACCCTATGAAAGAGCAGCTCAGGATCATGGGAGTGCCGGGGTAGTCAGGCAGCCAGCCCTGGAGCTTGTCCGGGTGCCTTGATGGTTCTTCGGGCTTAGGGTGTTTAGGGTTTAGG